AAATGATAGGTATACTGTAAGTGCACTTTAATGCTCCACCTTTAATTTCTTCTTTATTTCCTTTTTAATATCTAATTTTGTTCTTCTAAAAAGGTATGTAAATACTAGTTTCAGAGCTGTGAGAATTAAAGAAAGTACTGTATATTTGAATGATACATTAAACTTGCAGATGAGGGAAAGATTGTCCACTTACCTTAAAATTTAATAGGACCTTGTTCTCATCCACTAACTTTTAAACTTTCTTATGAAAGTTCCTCCAGTCTGGTTGAGACTGTGTATTCATGTTTATATAATCAAGTTTTCATCCTAAATGACTCTGGTGTGTTTCATTCTCATGGCATTATATAATATGTAATATGTGTTTTGGAGAGTTGATTCCTATATATAATTATATAATATATAATTCAGGCTCTGTTCCTACTGTATATATGTTGCTTCTGTTCTTTTGATGTTGATTGAATAAAACCTCTATGTTTTGATTCACCTTTTGCCTTTTGCCAAATCTGAGGCCTTTTAAGAAATTTACAGGTGAAAAAAGACTAAGACTCATATGGTTAGTCTGTTGAGCCAGTAAATGTTTTTTTTTAATTTTGTCTTATTCACATTAGTCTCAACTCCTCTTAAACAAAGTTCACTCAAAGGTGTTATGATTGTCCTCATGACAGTTTTCACATGTTTTAACATCTAGCCAGACATGTCTACAAAGTGTATATCTAAAATGGAATATGTATCCAAAAAGAGCTGCCACACACTCATACCAAGAAAAAATGAAGTGTTTGAAATGAATTTTCTGATGATGAAACATTTCTGTTTCGCCGCAGTTTCCTGCTAGTTTGTTCTACAAAAAAGCTCTGATTGTTTTTCAGTTTGAAAGAACGAGAGCAGTGCAGTAAGATATCAGTTCTGGCTGAGAGGTCCTTTGCTTTTATATAGTAAATATCAGTAAGAAATAATTTAGCAACAGGACTATGCTATACTGGCAGTCTGTTACACAACAAAGAGGATATGTAAGAATTCTCTTCTAATTCAACCATTTCCCACGTTAATATAGATTTAAAAAATAATATTACACTGTAACACACATTGGCCAAAACCAGTTAAATGTATTGAACACTTGAACATGATTATGAGTACTGTAGCATATGTTTGGCAAAAGTCCTGTATTTTCAAAGTGAACATTTCACCGCTGCACAAAGTGTGCCATCCTATAATATATAAATTATAAATTTTAAGAAAAAAGAAAAACACATTTTTCTCTCCAGGATATAGAATGCAATAATAAATTAAAAACCTTCAGAAAACTGTGGTGTAAACCCAGAGTGGACCTGGTCCATAAAATGGTGAAAAAGCTACATTAGGCTGATTTTAATGATTAATTAATGCTCGAATGAGTTTGTGAAGGAATCTCTAAATTACTTATTAAAAACTCAACAATGTAAATGGATATTTTTGTAGGTGAATGAGCTAAACGGAGTGTGAACACAATTAAGGAAGTTTTTGAAGATACATTTTATACAGTAGTCACATATAAAAGGAACTCATGACTAATACATAACTTTTAGATTTGCTAACACAGTAGTATGTGCAAAATACTGCCTTTTTCCATATCCACAATGCTACACAAAATTAATTGATTTGGTGAAATCACATGAATTTTTGTTTAATTAAACATACAGCCTGCTTCTAGTCTAATGCCGAGCTTGCGACTGAATGTTTGTTTGCCCAAACTTTTGTGCTGTTTTTTTTCTAAATTGAAGACGATACCTGCAAACCACCTATCAACCACAGTACTCAAACAGCATCCTGTTAGCTACGTGCGATTGAATGTATAAATGGTTTCCTGAAACGGTTTTTAGGCAGCACATTGATTTTTCTTAAGACAAGAAGCTAACCCAAATAACTTCACATGTATGGTTCTTCAGGACAGGTAATGCTGAAGTATGCTGTAAAACTTATTTCAAAAACAACAATTTAACAACAATAAGCAATTAGTGTACTAAGAGCCCAACTCTCAAGTAAAACAATATTCCTAACAGGCACTGAGTGGCAACAGATTTGTCCAAGAAAAGGCACAACTAGTTGATCTACAAATGTAGCCCGAAACTCAACACTTTTCTCGGACACAACACTCGATAACTATTACAATGAAGAAGTACACAAAGGTTTCTAAAAAAAGGCCTAGAAATTTTGAACGGTCCGTCACATGTGCAAAGGAAGATGATATTACAAAGGAGGTGTGCCAACTTCACTGTGAGCTAGACTCAGTTCCCCTCTCTTGTGACAGGAACTTCACTTTGTCGAGGCTGTACAGAAACCCACATTTCAATTAGCACATAGTAGCAAAGAAAGCTGGCAGTATAACTGATCGAGAAAAACAAGCCTTGAGAAAATATATTTTCTAGCACATGTGTATACAACCGTTCTTCTTGTTTCACTTCTTTTTTCCTAAATTAGCATGTAGCATGTAGAATAATTAACCTGAACAAAACATATACACAAATATACTGTATATTCATGCTGAAGCCTGTATTCACAGTGTGCACTATATATATATAATTCAAAATGATACTGTGATGTTATGCATACAACGTTCTTCACAACTTTCTTCACAATGGCACTTCCACGTTCTGTAACAACCTGATAGCTAATGCAATCATTAAAATGCTTTGTAAAAAATACATCCAATCAAACAGCGAGGGTTTGTAAACGCTCGTGTTGGACACAATTCACTCATCAGGAAATTCAACGTAAACGTCGTCTGATCAAAAACAGTCAGTTCCCATAAAATTCAAACTACCTACGTACTGTATATTTTCAAGTCAGGGAACATTTCAGTCTCTTTAGAACATGTAGTTATTAAAAATGAATTTCACCAGTCAGTTGTGTCATACTTCGGCCAGCCAAAACACAAAACAAACGTTAGTTGGAAAACCTAAACCTGGGCAACACTACATACTGTAACATAACAAAAATTCTCACAGAGAAAGAGAACAACATTGCTACAATTGAACAAGTGACATTTACTCCATACAGGGTCCTGAAGAGTGCATTCCAAAGCCATGATCAATGATCAGAGAAGCATCTAATTTGCACAGAGAAAACTAGTTCCATTAGCATCAGATCACCACTAAAAGCACCTGAAAACTACTACCTCTACAATCTCTTAAGAGATGTACGTTCTCTGAAATTCGCAAGAACAACCACATTTCTGCCATGTTCACCTCATGCTGCAGGAGTGTGTTAAAAGAACAACAGAGTGAAATCATGCTTAGAAGTTTTTTATACTCCTTGCACGCCTTAATACTTCTCTGTCCTTGGACATCCTAGGTGCCTTTTTATGAAGCTCTGTATACAAAAAGTGATGTTTGTGGTTCCATGAGGTCACCACAAACTCCTTGCATCTTGAAACATTCTCAGCATTACTCACACCTGAATGAGTCTCATTTATTTCTACTGACGAGCTTTTCATTTTTCTGTCAAAACATAACCTACAGCAGAAATGGTACAATATTACTCTTTATTTCCATTTTTTGTGTATTGCGCTTCAAAAGTCCTTTGAAGTTAAAATTTGTGTCATCTCTCTTCCGAAAATATTCACTTACAGTAAAATGAAGATGCCAGGGTAAAAAGCAGTTTTACTAGCATTTAACTTCATGAACTATTTAAATGCACAGGACTGGGCTGGGATACACATACAAAGTTATATTTAAACCTGAATCATAGCATGCTTAAAAACTTGAAAAAGCACAAACCACATTTCATGATATATAAAAAGGCGGTTGTGAAGTCTGATTCATATAAAATGAGGACTAGATATCTTCTATATTTATCCCGAAGAACAATTGTATCTTCACGATTTTACTAGGGACCAGTAGGATGGGTGTAGAATAGGTTAGGCATTTTGAAGAGGTGCTTCTCTTGTCATAAATAATTGTGCATCATTTAAGAGATGGTAAAGTAATCTTAAAAATAAAACAATGCTGTGAAATTATGATAACGCCTTAAATCCAGAAATGACTGCCATACTGGTGCGAAAGGTTCTCAAAACACGGTGATTGCTGGCTGGTTATAGCTCATTGACACAGGAATTTCCCAGTACACAGTCTCAGTGAACAAAGGTGTGTGCACAGGTCCTCAATCTAACCGTATGCTGCAGAAGTAATCCAAGGCAGATCAAAAGCTAGTGGAACCAAACTGGGACTAGAAGAAAGAGAAGAATAATTGGTGCATTTGAATGTTTCACAAGATTTTCAGGTGCCCCGAAATTGTGCACAGTACTGACAGCAATAAACTGGACAAGAAAAAAACTGCAAGCAAATACATACAAAGGGCAAAATGGACCAGCAAAAATGGGCATGGGAAAACAGGTCATAATGAATGGCCTATTCTACCTTCTGTGGAACTGCTTCATCCCAAGCTTCAAGGGCTGGTTTCCAAGACCTCTGTTAACCTCAGTACTGGACTTTAATACCAGTTCTCGAGATTAGTACTGTAAAACTACTGAAAAGAGTAGTAAATAGGCAAAACAACCAGATGCTGATGTAGCAATGCATTTATTCGAAATACACTCATTCACATGTGGTGTATGTTTCATTAGGAAGATTCAAGTACAGAACTTCTGCTTGAAAAGGAATTTGAATGATCCTTTTAAGAAGTGTCACGGGCATCAGCTGTTTTTCTTGGATTTTCCCTCCATGAAACAATGTACTGTATGAAATATTTTTTTTCAATCACGAACAGGTTGCCTTTTAGTAGAGTACTTAACAACTTCAAAAGCATGCTAATTAAAAATAGAAATTAGATTCCGCCTCACATAATAATAATGTTTCTTTATTAGCCCTATACAATTTCTTGCATTAGGAATTCGTCTTTTCGCCAGCTTTTCTCCATGGAGACACAGGGAGAGAAGCATGGGGTCACAGTGCAGGGTCAGCCATTGTATGGTGCCCCTGGAGCAGTTGGAGTTAAGGGCCTTGCTCAGGGGCCCAACGGAGTAGGATTCCTCTGCCAGCTGCAGGATTTGAACCAGCAACCTTCCAGCCACAGGTGCAGATCCTTAGCCACAGAACCACCGCTCCGCCCATACATATTGGAATATGTAAGTGTTTTTTTTTTACTAATACCAGAAAGTGATGGTTTATTTAAAAAAAAAAACATTAAAATACAAACATAAAAATGGATAATGCATTAATGTCAATAACTTCCAAAATGGAAATTTCAAACAACCCCTTTTATTATGATTAATGAAAAGTTGTAATTTTTCTGTCTTAGTGCTCAAATATCTATTCATTGGCAGTAAGAATTCTTGTTTGTTTTGTTTTTTACCTTTTTAATCAACAATAAGACAAATTAGAAGACAGTAATCAAAATAAGTGGCTCAATTTCAACACTTACAGTATTATGTTGAAATAACAGGGGTTCATAATACCCCAGAAAGTGCATTAGCACTGAGGGCATGTTCAAAATCTATTAAAGTGAATTATATTACTATAATTAGACAAGAGCCCGAGGGCTGAAAGGAAAACATTGTCAAGTGAGCACAGTTCAGATGCACAGAGATGGCAGATTAATACAGTACTTGCGACTGTGTTATCTTCAGATAAAAATCAGTGCAGGTACTGTATAGTTACTTCACTGAATGTAAAGATTGCAGACCAACATGCGTACAGAAATTCCGAGGTAGAATCTGCTTAGATCAGTTAACAACCCACAGCAAAAGCTTTTCTCACAGAAAATCTCTACATGGTATTTCCTAAATAGAAACAATATAAGAATTTATATACTTTATATATATCGATACTAAGCATCGATATATAATGTATCTTTCTCCTCACCTAATCTGCAATGGCATCCTCAGATCAGCAATAATGAATTCTCTTTTTTGGGCATTCCAAGATGTAATAATAGTATGAAATAAACTTGTTGCCAGCTTGGACATTTTAAGTCATGTTTAACAGCTTTTTCTTTCCGCTTTTTCTGTTTCCTTGATTGCATGTAACACCCCGCCTTAGGTTAACCACACCTGTCAGCATTTATCTATAATTAAATATGCTTTTGGAGTATTGAGTAGGTTGAATTTGATAAGAGGTACTGTAGCCCACGACATGAAGTAACCCTCTGTTCAATCAACTTTAAACACATGTATGTTTCATTCAAAACAAAGATGTGTTTTAAGAAAAAGTAAGACGATGAGTTTTCTAACCTCAGGTGTAATGAGGATAGTACACTAAAATTACGTTATGAAGACATAAATGATAACAGGTATATACAGCACTAATATAGCAGAAAATAGAACAGCATGTTTGATTTATTTTCAAGGCCGGATATGTAGAAGTCTTGGTTTAGGTCACTGAAACTAATTTTTTTTAAGATTAGCTTAAATCTGTAACCTTTTGATACAACACTCCTGACTCGATGCTCAAGTAAGGGCAGATATAACTTTCACACATTACACATTTATTTTAAAACCCCGTATTTTACACTCACACACGCATGCATGTGTTTATGCACTCACCCTAACACACTATGGAAATAAGACTGTATACAGTAGCTGCTTGACCCATTTCAGCCTTTGTGAGCTAAAGATGGCAGTCCATCCTGTCCCAATGAAGCAGTAGAGTAAGTTTATTACCAATTTGTCTATTAACTTGCTCAACATGAGTAAAAGTGGTGTTGACTTGTTTACGAGACCTCTATAAAACACGACAACAGGTATCCATCTGCTGTGGAGAGGTAATCCTGTTTTCTTATCATCATTAGCATTACAATCTTTAATGTTAGCTTTGGGTGTTCCCACTGCAACACAAGACGCTACAAAGCAGCCTTTCCTTTGTCGCAGTACCATTCGGTTTCAATGATAATGAACACTTTTTTGCATAAACACAGCTGTTACCTTCTAATACCAATTTCTTATTAAATTTAACAAGCTCAATGATTCTCCTTGAACATCATTATATGTGGATACTATCCTTCAACAGCTTTACATTCTTTTGCATAATCATCAAACAGGAAATTATTGGCGTGTCTCCTGTTCCTCCATCCACATGCATTGGCTCTCAATATGGTGTACAAAAAAAGAGTACGTGGGCGGGAGGGATAGATGTATTCTTTCCTACTGTACAGACACATCCTGGAGAGGTGGTGCAGTATATTTGTGTAATGCTCAGGGAGACAAGCTCTCCTCGTTTCTTCTCAGCAGTAAATGTTGACTGATACAAGCATAACAGTTTGTGTTCAGACGTGCAAATATATTTTATGAATATCTGATTCCTTTTCACAGCACAGATACAGTATATACACTTACATACACATATATGAATGCATTTCAATGTTTAAATAATTTAACAGACTACAGAAGTGCCCTGGTTTGGACACATCTAATTGGATACTTTTTTACGTTTTGTTTTCTACCGCACCTGATAAAATACACAGCTTGGTTTGAAGGGAAGAAGAAGCGTTTCACAACTCAGCGTGTCTGTGGGGGTAATATGGGAAACTTTACCCCCATTTTTTGCAGCATACTGCTTCCTGAATTAAGCCAGACAATCAATCAAGTACCCCTTCTCTTTCACAGATGCAGAAAATGATTACCTAAGAGAAAACAAAATTGCAAACAACTTCAGATGAGAAAGCGGCCGCACACGATGTGACAGCTAATTAAACTGCACGTTCACTTATGACAAGTGTGGCTTTTCAGCCACAGATGTGCTGCAGCGAAAGGTATGAAGCCATATCCTGTGAAAGAGAGGGCGTGTGCCCTCATGTGCTGTTGTTTTCGCGCATTGGGACATCAGAGTTTTTGGAGTTCTGTATTTTGGGCAGACTGCTGTCAGTGCATCTGGGTTGGCTCCTCAGGCCCGACAGGCCTCGCCGGATCTCCTTGCGGATGTTGTCGCTGGCCAGGACGTAGAGGATGGGGTTCATGGCGCTGTTGAAGGTGGACAGCCCCAGGGAGATCGTGTAGGGTGTGTACACCTGAATCTCAAAGTCACAGCTGCCGCTCTCTGTGAAGTGAAACATGACTGCCCTAAGTAAGAGAATGATGTGGTAGGGAGCGAAGCACACCAGGAAGAGGACTATCACGGTGATAGCCAAGTACTTCACCTTCACCTTCTGCCTCTGTTGCAGCCCAGCACTGGCCTGAATGTTTGCGAGAATGGAGCGGTTCGTGGCGACTAGGATGATCAGGGGAATGAAGAAGCCAATGAAGAACCGGGCGTAGTTGAACCCCGTCACCATTGCTGTGTTCTGCCCAGGCTCAAAGCACTTCTTCTCCCTCCCTTCCGTTTCCCCTTCTTTCATGATGAAGACAGGGCAGTGTCCGACCGCCACGATCACACAGATGATACAGGTGATGATCCCAGCGTGCTTCTGTCGCCTCAGACCCCTGGACTCCACAGCGTACGCCACCGCCACATAGCGGTCCACAGAGACGCAGCACAGCAGGAAAATGCTGATGTACATGTTGTTGAAGAACACGTAGCCCGTCACCTTGCAGGCCATGGAGTTCCAGTGCCAAACGTGACCGGTGGTGACGTATATTGTCCACAAAGGCAACGTGCACAGATACATTAGGTCACACAGGGACAGGCTCAGGAGGTAAATTCCCAGCACGTTCTTTCTCAGAACCTGCAGAAATGTGAGGTAGACCGTCGCCAGGTTCGCTGGGAGTCCGATAATGACCACGGCGCTGTACAGGATGACCAAGGGGATCCTGTCGTGCTCGTAAGGCAGTTGACAGCTCACATTCATGGCCACCTCCTTACTCATGATTTAATGAGATACGATTCCTGTTGAAAAGACAGAGAGCACAGTTAGGTGGGTGGTCCTTGCTGTGGGAGATGTTGGAACTGGGATTCATAAATTTTATCCATTAGTTCCTGTTTTTATATTATTGAATTATATATACAGTTTGTTTAGGTACTAAACTAAAATGTTCCCATTTGTTAATTATTATATATGGTACCATGTAATATTCTTTGATTTTCCTTAAAAACCAATTAAAAAATGTCAATGAGATTCAGAAGCTGTCTTTTCTTTCTTTTGTTTGTGTTTAATTTCCTCAAAGAAAAGGGTGTGAGTACATATACATGCAAATCCACAATACACACATGTGCTGTATACATAAAACCAAAAATATGCAACACACTTCTATTGTTGGGTTTTATAACAATTGTGTTAAGCGTGTGTATCTGGACCATATTAGCAAATTAATTTAATATCCTTGCAAATATAAAGTACCATGCTAGCAGTTTTTAAATGTGTTTAAGGTCCTAATAAAAGTTGCATGCAACGTTAATTGGCCAACACACCCAGAATTTAATTTATCTCCTATACACGTTTGAAAAGGACAAATTACTTTCTAAATTCCTTGGTCCTTATTATTCCACCCTGACAGCAGATCATTCTTAGTCCAACCATCAATTTTCTAACTGCTTCATCCAGTTAAGGGTCACGGGGGGTGCCAGAGCCTATCTCTGATTGAATTGGCGCTACCTTTTCATAAGTGCATTCAGCAGAATTAAAAAATATAAATTTCAAGTAGTAGTACTGTGGTACTGAAATTCTCTCACTCAGTGTTTCCTTTGTTCTTGGTGCTGAGCAGAAAAATTGATAACTCTTTCCGTGGAAAAATATTTAGAGGTGCACTCTCAACCTGATGGACATTGCCTATATGATAGAGATATTGAAAAAACAAATTCAGCTTTACTACACAAATCCTGAACTATTTATAACTCAGTTAATTGCAATCAACCCTGTCACTTTACAACAGAATAAGCTATAATCTGTGTTAGAAATGGTGGCATTTGAAATGTATTTTCATATATTACACCTGTAGCTAATGTTTTAATTGTCACTGTTCAACCCTGAAAATATTTCTCAGGTAAGGGTAACAAAAAACATTCATACTATGAACTTTTTCTGCTATTCAAATTCAAACAACAACAAATGGGCTGATTTGATTTCAAGTAGTTGTACAATTGTAAAAAAGAAACTCCAAACACACCTAATGACCTAGAGTAGTTATTATTTATATATTAACAAACATTGTCCTATTACTTCAGTTAAACAACTTGAAACAAAAATTGTTTAATAAAATACTAGAGTACTACAACAAACCCTCAGCTAGAGATTCGAGGAAGACATGAACACTAAAATGACAAAGCACACCATTACCTTTAACCACTACTGAGTGAGCACTGGACCACAGCGCACTTATTTGAACTCAAGGGAAATTCAGCAAGTGGTACTCTGGGGGAGGTGGCAAATTATGTTGATATACCCTTTCAAAACAAATATTTTTAAAACAGTTAATATGACTAAGTCCAAACAATTAAATATCAAAGCACAGTCTAGACCAGTGAATAAACTCCTCAAGGCACAAGTCCTTATGATTTTACATAAATTGTGAATTAAGTAAACCCAAACAATTTTAACATAACAAAATAATACATACATTTTCTAATATAATACTTAATATGTACAGACCATTAAATCGTTCACATACAGTAGCTCATACAGACTATTGTAATGTGACCTTGAGTAAAATTACTTTCGAAGATGGTTTCCGTAAATGTCTTTCCCTATAAATGTATTAATGTAAATATAATAAAGAAATGTGAATTGAATACAAGCCACAGCTAAATAAATTAAAATACCTTCCCAGAAAGTAATATCTGTATCTCTTAACCATTCAAAATAACTGCAACCCTCCAAACACTGAAATTAGCTAGTGAAAACAATTCCACAGCAAACGTTGTTACTCCAACATCACATAAAGCATACTGGCTTCAATATGGATATAATGGATAGCACACAGAGAGATGCCCTCACTGCATCTATGAGCAGTCATAAGTGCACACAGAACTCTGTTACACTGTCACTTTTGTAATATTTTGAGTTTATCTAGTACAGAAGAATTTCTCTTAAACCCAATGCTTGTGCAATCCAGAACAGGAACATTTTCAGAACATACAGTAGCAGGAGACGGACAACAGCAGAACTACCTTTATCATAGATTACATACAGTAAAGCCAGCCTTGCAGTTTAAATGTCACAAGCATGCAAGTCAGTAGCATTTCCGCAAGCTGGCACACCAGAGGATTAATCATTACATACATGCTGATGTTCATTTTTCTTGTACCTCAGCGTGCTGACAGTACTGTGGTTTCTGAGCTCAGAAGCCCATTCTCGGCACAAGCACTGATTTGCAACTTTCAAAACTGGGGTCAATTTTCTAACTTCCCCACGACACCAGTCAAAATCCAAAATGAGAAAACATGAGCAATAGCTTTAAGATCCTCCACTTTCTTCGAATATGGCATGAAAATAGTAAACTAAAGAGTCAGTGATAACTGGAAGTCCCCAAAACTGTCTCATAAAGGCTTAGTTCCTTTTCTTGCTCTGACAAAGCAGACCATGGGAACTCCACAAATTCACCAGACATTTAGATCAGAAACAGTCACCCTTACATTAAGCATTAGTTTCACAATACATTCTTTAAATCATTTATCTCAGGGAAAACGTTATGTGCTTAACTCTTACCCAAAGCACGTTCTGTAAAGATATTTTACTGAAGATCGTCAAACCCTGCTCTTTTCTGGAAAAATATATATAATATATAAATAAATATATCATTTCGTCAGGCTAGGCTGTATTATGTGAAAACGCCTCTCATAAAACCTTTAGCATCCAGAGATCACAAAGCTGATTTATGAATAACCACGTTAAAGATGCATAAAGCGCATGGGAATGAGAAATCCAAAATCAATCATGTTCGCCGTGGACGCTACTTAAAATGATATTTATGTTGTATCTAAGGTTGTAGGTCTAACGTCTAAAAAATAAAGGACATGTTCCTTCCTGGAAATGTGATTGTATGATGAACATCTGAAGGTCCTTTTAACCCTTTGTTGTATAGTAGGGTGGTTGCAGGCGAGAAGAATTGTGACTTTAATAAGGCTGTATTAATGGTGTCTATGTGAAAAGTGACACGACTGTCAGCGGATGACCTCCTTATCTACTGAATCACTTTCTCGGCTTGTCATGTCTCATTACGGTCAGTGCTCTTGCTTGCCGAAGTGCGCTGTACGGATATTGCCCATCCATTACTCGCTGCAACAATATCTGCAGCCCTTGAACATGTGAAGCGTTGTTACTCTCTTTCTTCTTCACCATTTTGCGGATCAACGGACCGTGCTAGTCTTTGAGAGCTGTCAGCCCATTCTCAGACACATTCTCCGTCCGTGTGTCTTACACGTTACCGCCTTCAAGCTTTTCAAATGAAAAAATCATAACGAAAGACAACGTGCTTGGCAAGGTTACTGACCACCGCTTTAGTGTGTAACCGGCAAAGTGAATTCATAACCGGGTACTTTCAAGAGCTCTTTTAAATTAAATCTACAATCGTTAGGGCTGCTACTGTTAATTTTTGACTTAGATTACTAAGTATATAAAACTATAAAACAAACGCATTAACCTCGCGTAACACGCTTTCAAAAGGCGAAAAAAACACCTTTATTTAAATGCACGTCAATTTAGGTTACGATCTTTAACTTTAATCCTCCCATTTCCCCGCTGTGTGGGCAGTAGAGACATATACATAAATATACAATATAAATCAAATATTTTCGCAGCAAATTCATCTGTTCTTTGTCTTTGCACTGTATCTAAAGAAAGGGGTATTGTATAATACCTTGCTTTTTCTCGGTCTCCGAAGATACGCTAGACGGAATTGGTTTGTGTTTAGCAGACACTTTAATAATTAATAACTGTCTGGAAAATTTACAATCAACAGTCTATGTAATCGGAACAGAGGAAACACAATTATGCGTCGCGGCTGTGCTCTATCTTTTAAGTACTTGGTTCAAAAAAATAAAAGAAACGAGGTACGTACTGCCAGTCTTCTGTATGGAACAAAAAGGAGGAAGTTCATTCAAAACCTATTGCCAACTACACACAAAGCAAGAACTGTACCTGAAAATGGAAAATGGTCGTAGTTTCATAGTTGCAAAACGAAGGGAAGATGTATAATAAAACGAGATGTACAGTAATCACCTATTCCTGATAGGATAGAAAAATCTTCACTTTTAGAGTAAACCGTTTTTTTTTTCATTTTTTCATTTTTAAATGAAAACGCCCTTAAAGTGCGCAGCTGTTCTTCACCACCCTCAAACTGCTCTCGAAAGGTTTAGTTAGAGCCGTGGTTTGGGTTAAGTTACACCACAACCTCTGAACTCCCAAGAGACGTGATTTAAACTAGTCTTTCATCTCACCTAGGGCTAACAGGTGTACAGTACTAGTATGCAATGGATATAAAGGTTGGCAGTCTTTTAAACTCACCTTTCTGCAACAAACACAGGAACATGTTTTCTTCGAGCGCGACAGATCCTCACTCATTGTTCACCGAACGCATTCTCTCAAGAATCTCCTGCATCGTTACTTGGAAAGGCTCCGTTCTTGTTAACCAATCAGTAGACTCCGCAGTTAAGCCGCTCGCAGCTCTCTGTGTTGTCCGCTGGCCCGGTGCTTTTTTTCTAGTAAGTGTGCAATTTGCTGTGAAAGCGCCGCTTGCGAATGGGGCTCTGCTTCTGCTACTTCTGCGCGTTATTTCCTTTGCAGTTTAACATGCATCTTAAACAGAAAGCAGGCTTTCCATTTGTTGGCGTCAGTCTTCAGGGTAGTTTTACACTGTGAAACTACGGATTTGTGGGTGCTAAAAGAAATGTTAACTTACAAAATGTACAGTTTTTGTTGCTACTCAAGACTCAAGTTTTCTTTTAAATAAAAAGTGTTGGTGGAGATTTTTGGAAAACTCGGGAACAGATTTCAGCCCCATTCTGGCAGATGTCTGAGTCAGTCTTGAGTACGTGAAAGGTTAAAATCCGCATCTACAGACAAGGAATTAAAAAATGGAATAGAGTAGATAACATCATTTCTGAAGCAGGATATAGGTCAATCGACAGGTTTTATACGTGTAAAATTCTTTACTTTTTTTAGAACCTTATGAAGAAATTAATGACGGTAACATGAGTTGTGTAAAACGCTTCAAGAAGAGTCTGATATAGCTGTACGAGACATTTGTTTTTAGTCTGATCGCAGTTTGATAAAATACGACACCTTTCACTGAATGTTCCGTCTACTGTTAAAAAAAATGGCCTATTAGAGCTTTTAGAGGTCGGCACAGTGGCGCAGTATGCCTCACAACGTTGGGGCCCGGGGTTCAACTCCTGTCCTGGAGCGATATCTGTAGTTTGCGTGTTTTCTTGAATAGTTCAAAGACATGCTGGTAGGTTAATTATCTTCTAAGGAAAAACATATGGTCCAAGTGTGAGTGTTACGTGTCTGTGCAATGGACTAGCGTCCCGTCCAGGGTGTGTCCGGTGTTGCTCAGAACGTCGCTTGCCGGGGTAGGCTCCGTCTTCACCGTGAGTCTGAATGGGAAGAAGTATGAATTTGATACTGAAAAGGTATTTATATTATATGAAAAGATTGATAAAATACCGAATGGTCCAAGAGAAAGTAAAATGCTGACCGATTTGCAGTAACTGTACAGCATTTGCATTAATTGTACAACACATAATCCAACCTCTGAGGCACTGCAGTTATTTAGGCGACTGTATTTGAATTTCAGTTGGTTTCATTCAACCTTGCTGCCTGCCGGTATTTACATATGGAAAAAACATATAGCAATCCAGGGTTTGTACAGCGATGCTAAATTAAGAAAGCAACCTAAACCATATTTGACAATTTTGCAATTTTGAACACCTTTGACCGACTGTCCCACCTTCACATTGCTTTAAAATTGCAATTGACCAACCTGCATTGTTATTACATTATTTAAGACCATAGGAAAAGAAGAAAATTAGCATCAATGTGGTGCAGTGTAGCGTAACTGTGGTTTCTGTCCTGGGTTCGATTGCGGACCTAGGGTGCTCTCTGCGTAAAGTTTGTATGTTCTCCTAATTTTCGTGAGAATTTACTCCTTGCTGCCCTGCACCCTTTAATGTCAAAGTGAAAACAAAATTCAACCAATTATCTTGAAAAGTCAAGTAATTAGTTGGATTGAGTTAATCTTGGCTCCACAGGAAAGAAGCAACACGCATGCTAAGTACCCGGTAGTTACTTGAGGAAACGGTTGTAGCGCATCTGTGACTAAGCCTCTTGACACAGACCGCCGTTTCACAGCGTGCACAACCACAAGTTCAATAGGGGCTGGCATGAACATGTGCACAGATTGTTCTGCAGTCTGTGGTGAAATGGGTGTGCGCAGCATTTCAGGCAGAAACTACAAGTGTAGTGAAACTACAAGGGCTCTCTGTATCTGAGAAGCAGTCAGTTTCGTCATGTGTAAAGTGCTCGTTGGAGAAAAATCCCGGGTTCCCTGGCGGGGTGACACTAATTCGCTGTGGTTATATGCAAGTCAGCTAAATGGTGAATACAGGAGCATGTTTTCAAAATGAGACAGAGACAGGGGTTGGAGTTATGTTCTTCAGCCCAGAATTTTTATGTGTCTTCTGTCTGTGGTTAGGTATTCCCAGAATCTTAGCTGTTTGAGAGGAAAGAAAGAAAACACACAAGATCCTACTGTCATCAAATGGACAAGAGACCTATGAACCAGGAATATGAGAATTACAGTAGGGATTTTGGAGAATTTCTGAAGTTGGGGTCAGCAGTCCTAGTGGCTCACTAGACATAAAAAATAATGTGACTGGATCACAAACGGGTTCTGATAAGGAATCTGAAAGACTCGACTGCCAATGTGCTTGCAATCAGATGATTGATGGGCCTTTATGAGCTTGAGGTTGGCCGTTTGGAATGGCTTAGTTGGTACCAGGCAGTATGTACCACCCTGCCCATTAGTGGTTATTCTATGTGCAGATAGCTCCACCATTCCATGGTCTGATCATAGGCAATGATCAGAGATGAGAAACCATGTTCACCCACAAATAATATTCTGAAATCACACTGTGGGTGTGTGAATCAACCCATCTAATGTCTTGTCCACTTTTTTTTACAATTAGCCACTTCCTGTTCTGTTATTATAATATGTATGCTAATGTAATGTAAAATTAAGAGAAGCTTTGTGACTGGTTGAAGAATTCTGTCTCATTGTTTTATACTTTTCTAGCTTTAGTTCCCCATAGCACACATAACAGTTGTGTAACAGATAATTATAATGTAGTAGCACTGCCTTTTTTTACTCATCACTTTTCCTAATTACCTGTGTTTTTTTACATCCTACAGGTTAGGATGTCAGAACGGACTATTGACATCAGTTTACTTTTTATACAAATCCAATATCTTTTTTTTTTCTCCAAATCCCAGTATCTTTTGCCTTGGAGCCTGGTTGGGACATACTGAAGCTGAGCAATCTTATAAAGTTAATTTTGCAGTAAAACAAGAATGGTAAAAGAAGAAAGTTATGAGTATTTTGGTTGAAAACAATATGAAAAAAATCAGTTAAATTTATCGTGTACTCATAATATTGAATTTCAGATGAGTTTTGGATTGTTTTACAACATTTTTGAACATTTGCTCCCTATCCCGCTGATAAAGTCAAATGTTTCCATTTTATGTCTTTAAAAAACGACTGCTTTAAAAGCTGAAGATGCTTTATCGTTTCAGTGAACATTCTACAGTATGTCCATTTTACAATTGGATATCATACTTTGACATTTAAGTAAAGGCTTTTTGCAATTCACAACAATTCTATGCGGGTTTTTCATTCTTAAAATCATATTATATGCATAGCATATGCATATTCTGCAATTTCCCCTCACAGGATCAATAAAGTATCTATCTATCAATTATAGCAACCATATTTGATTGAGCCGACGTATCTTTGCTGTATCTGGAGTTGATGGTATTGAAACAGCAGAGTGAGGACATTGTGGAGGAGTGAATTAATACTCTGTTTATACAAAATCACAATATCCAAACAGGAGATGACCTTCAGCTACATGAAGTGCTTTAATCCTGGCAGTTCACAATGTACTGCTGCCACACAAAGAGGACTTAAAACAATAGCTGAGTGGAAAAGCAGCAGGAATTCACCATCCTGTCCTGCAGTCCAAAAGGGCAAAATCCCAGGAAACGTCTTCATCCTTTACAAGTCCTGTGCTGGAAACACTTAAAGTTGAACCTTTAGTAGCTCAGCTTTTACAAATGCCATCCGTCCAAATCTACCTTAGTTTTATTCCTTCTGCAATTTTAAATAATTGCTTGGCAAAGGATTTATAGAAGTTCACGTGGGTAGCTGTGTCAGCATGCGTAGGCTGCAAAGGAACAGGTAAAGTTTAATTCCATGCTGAAAAGAAAAAAAAGAGACACAATGTTTCGGCTGTGGAGCCTTCTTCAGGTGTAAAAAAAGATTTTCAGTAAATAAAAAAGATTTACAGTACAATTATACAGGATAATAATTCGATGGGAGAGGTTCTCCCTGTAATGCCTTGATTGGGAAGCACAACACAAGAGCACAAGAGTCATGGCCAAAACATCTCAAAACTATATACCCAACTGTTTTCTACACAATTAGACACATTGTTAACAAATATGGCAGCCTGCTCAGGCACCGCAGACCAGATCAGCCAAACCTGATCTCCCTAAAAAGCAGCAAGAAGTACAGTCACAGAGCATCTTGTGATTCAGGAAAAGTAATCTGGGAAAATTCAAACTAGGAATTCCATTAAAAAACTACCTTCCTCTGCATTCCTCATCCTTGCTTTTCATAATTCAATATTCATTTAAATGGGTTTAGCTTGGGAATGCTCCACATGTAAGTGGAAAACTGGATGATACATTTTTACAATCTTTAGTTTTTATTCCCTATCTTGATTGCATTTTCTATCCATGTGGCTAGTTTTATTATTCTTTCACTATGTCCTTCGGCAACATGACTCACTACCAAGAGCACACTTCATACGTGTTCTAACTTTCCTAACCTTCCGTCACATCAGCCTTATGAAAATGATATCTTTAACACCTTTGCATTCAAACTGTTTAAAAGAAGAAAAAAAACTTAATAATCCAAATTAATTCCCATTCTCAGGAGAGATTTTTTCTTTTATTAATAACATTTCCTTAAACAGAACTGTTATTGGCACAAGCGTGTCAGAGCATCCGTTTTTGGCATTTCCTCTTTTCCAGCGCTCCCAAAGCCTTCAGATTGGAATCAGTTTTTCCATCTCACCTGCTGCAAAGAAAAAAGAAAAGCAGGGGACTGTATGTGTTACAAGTCTCAGGCAGAGACATTAGTAACAGCTAGTGTAACTGTGAAGTCAGGAGAAATAAAGACTTGGGATATAAGAAGCTTTAGTTTCTGGTCATTGTCATTTACTTCTGAGGTAAAAATAATTTTCAAACATTACAGCAAATTAGAAATATGACATTTCTTATGACAATACTTTTACCATCTCTGGTACCCCTTAATGCTTCTTCATGTGCATCTCACATGTAAGTTTGAGCTGCACATACAAACTTAATCTACTTTAAAAGAAAACTGTAAATCGATGTTAATGTGCTTACTGAATCATAGTTAATACATTTTAGGAAGTGCTCTTCACAAGTTTGTCCACAATAGTGCTGCCTCATTTAGAGAAGTGTAAAACATACACAACGGACAGTAATATGTTACATACTTTACTGCCCAATATATAAGGCAACATATAAGGCAAAATATTTTGCTTTTGTAGTCTTTTCCCTTCCAGTGACCAAAGGTACTGAACCTTTGCCTCGAGTTAAATGAATTTAGCGACTTTAGCATAGTGCCTGCTGCAAATTACTTCATATTGTCACACTGTTTAGACAGTACCAAGCCACTGGCACTCAGAAGAGAAGCTGAATTTGAGATGAATTAAAAGTCAGCTTGGCAGAACAAATACAACTAATATGTAAGAACAAATTAAGATACAAATCTGAGAAACAATATAGAGAACTAGAAAACGCACTATGGAAATGAAACAGGAAATGGAAAATATGATAACGTTCAATTAATTTCCTATTTGTCTATTCATATTAATTTGTTTAAAATATCACAGCCTTGTCACTAAAATTAAACTATGAAGATGATGTATCTCTGTATGCTTACTGACAGGTCCTGACACAAGTGCCACAGCTAAAAGAGGATATTGTTAATGTATATCTACAGTAATTCTCACATGTTTCTGAATGTTCTCAACAATTTATGAGACACTCCACAGATGAAAAGGCTGGCATTTTATTATGATATTTTCTAAAATGTAATTGCTACACAGGATTAAGAGTAGAAAAACAAAGTGTGGTGAATGCTTTATATGAAGTGTCTGCCATTATAATATAATTATACAAGAATTAACATCATTTTCTGTTGAATTCCTATTAAATGCATATGCACACAGGCTCTGTTCTATTAACAGGCACTTAATTGAAAGTGCTATCAAATTGTTTAATCAAACAAAAACTCTTCCGGAGATAAGAAATCACATCTTGCTGAATCTGTCTCACGTTTCCTTTGCAAGCTCATGCTTTATCAGTTTGTTTTTTTGTTGGACAAAACAACTGTGGATCATGATAAAATAACATGTTTTCTTTCACTGAGAATTATTTCAAAACCTAGGAAGGGGAATGCATGTATTCCTGTTTTGTTTTTTATCTTGATGTTGCAGGAATAAAACAATACTTGCATTCCTAAAATTCCTAAAGTATTCATCTTGTAATTAGACCCGTGAAATACCCATTCATCCATTTTCTAACCTTTTCCTCAGGGTCGTGGGGGGAATCAGAGCCTATCCCGGTCGGCAACAGAAGCAAGGCGGGATACTGTACATACACCCTGCACAGGATGCCAGTACATTGCAGGGCTGAGACAGACACAGACGCAGACATGCAGACACATTCACACTGGGGCCAATTTTCCCCAGAAGTCAATTAACCTACCAGTTTGTTTTTGGGCTGTGGGAGGAAACTGGGGCACCCGAAGGAAACCCAGGTGAACATAAAAACTCCATACAGAGAGCACCCCATGTCCGGAATTGAGTTGTCCGCTTTGTGCAGTTCGAGGTGGTGAGGGAAGATGATAGAGTGTAACCAGGTGCAAGTCAAGATACACCCTGGATGGAGTGCCAGTCAACAGGCAAACATACGCTCACACCAGGGCCAATTTGTTCCCAGAAGCCAATAAACCTACTAGTTTTTAACTGTGGGAGGAAACCAGAGCTCCCACAGAAACCCAATGTGAACATGGGGAGAACATACAAACTCCACACAGACAGCACCCCAGGAATTGAACCCAGGGCCCTAGCACTGCAAGGCAACAATGATAACTACTACGCTACTGTGCTGCCGCCACCTTTTCTAGGCAGAATTCCACCAGAACAGAGACTCTTTCATATTCAATCATTTCTCTCAAGATGGAAGGGGGGAAACCTCTCGTGCTTTTACAGGAAGGAAACAATATCAGCCTCATCCACTGAGGCAAAAAACACAAGGCACTGATATAAAAGGCACAGCATATTCATCTGGGAGAAACAGAATGCTTTCTTACTGTATTGCTAAGGATGTCATCAATTTTCTTTTCTTCTGGAGAGCCTCGGTCTACCTTACATCTATACAGCATCAACTGCTGCCGGTCTTTCAGGTCTTTATACGTCTGCGTACAGGGAAAAGCAACATCCAATGCAGGTCTTCATCACTGTTCTTGTCGAACTAATAGTCTAACATGACCAAATAGGGCAGTGATCACGTTTACAAAAAAAAGTGTCAAACTGTGATCCTGAGTAGAACAGCAGCTGTTCTAGTAACACATACAATATGTCACGTACGATACTGCTGACAGGTTTTCACCTGCTCTGGATTCAGAGCCATTTGCCTCTTTCTCTTTAGTGTTAGCCTCTGCTAAGCTTGTCTGAGTACAATGATTTCAGACTAAACGGTTCTCAGAAACAGATAAACACCTGAAGGCCCAAATGCATTCTGCTACTTGATTTGCTTTGCTTGCAATAAATGCACACCAGGGCCAATTTGTTCCCAGAAGCCAATAAACCTACTAGTTTTTAACTGTGGGAGGAAACCAGAGCTCCCAATACCAACATGATTAATGAGGATATGAAGAAGCAAAATGACAGTAAATTATATTAAATGAAGCGGTGAACATATTTGAAAAACAATGTACTGTATTACCTTCGTTGCAGTATTTAATCTCATTTGTAATCAACAAAAGAAATTTCTATAAATCATCTTTTTTTAATGTAGTAAAATGAATTCATATATATGCATTTTAAACTTCCCCAACTACTTCCCATAATATGAATTTACTTTATTTGGTAAAAACACATTACGTGGACCTGCACACTTTGATAAGAGCAGCCACTGAGACTATGAAGGGGGCCTATTAATACCACAACTACTAAAACTACAACTACTATTAATGCTACTTATTCCAATTCTTTTGTGATTAATAATTGTTAATACTTCTACAGTTAATACTATCACTATTAATGTTACTAACTACAAATAATAAAATAAGTGTTATTGTTACCTTTGCTACTACTGTCACCACAACTACTGTTACTACTTTTGCAATTACTTCAGTAGCCATTTCTACTGCTGGTACTGCCACTAATAATACCAAACATTTATAAACAGTGCATGTTTTAATTTTTGTGCTTTGAAGACAGAATAATACGGGCCCAACTTACATCAATGATGACGTCATGGCATTTGTACTTCTGTGCCAGGCCCAGTTTCATCTCGGGGTCGTCCACTAAACGCACATACTCTTGCAGGACCTGGGGGAGGTCAGGCAGGCTGGTTTAATCAGGGGCCTCAAGGGACAAAAAGGTTGGATGGGGATTTCTGATGGACATTTTCATTTGGCTTACGTAGTATTTAAGGAGAACGCTGACAGAAACGACCTGGACCTTCTGCAAGGATGCTTCCTTTATCAGAAATGTGCTGCCCACAGTACACATTCACAACTGACGCTGCTACGTCACCTAGCTCTCTCAGCTCATTGCTTCTTGTTTTTTCATATTTTTTGTGACCACAATAGAGAGACACCACCCACACAACGTACACAGGCAGTGGCAGCAACTGAGTTTGAACACTAGCATATTATAGTTTACATCTCTTTAACAACGCACACACAATGTAAGGATTAACACTTGTCTTTCTGAAAACTGATGATACACAGAAATTATCTACCCTATGGGACCATAATACTTTATTATGTGTACACTTTTCCGGAGTTTTCTGGGCTAAAACCTTGCTCCCAACAGAATATCCCAACAGTTTGTCTCCATGTGATAAAAACAAATGTATGAACCATCTCTTACATTTATGTCTGGAACAAAATTACACAAAAAACAATTCTGTTTTGACACCTTGACTACCTAGTGTAATGGAATTATACTTTGTATTACTCCGATAGCGCTCTGTGGTACTCTTGAGGTGCAGTTCCTAAAAAAAAACAGTACGCAAGTCACACCGTCTGATGTGGCAACAAAGTTAAACATGCAGAGGCTGTTAAGCAGCAAGTCATGCTTTAATGTGCCACACAGAAAAAAGGCCAAAGAATATGACCCAATAACTTCAGGAAGTTGCCTGTTGAGACCATGACTGAAAAAAACAGCACTGTGCCTTTTCTTTCACATGACATTTAAGCATATGACATCTTTGAACAAAAAATGCATACTTTTTTCTCTTATTTACTGAACCTATTTAGGTCAAACAGACACATACAGTATGCCGCTTATGTAAGAACAGAAATGGTTGCATACTGTATGTGAAAATGTCATACAGCTCATCTTAATTTATTTGCTACTAGTAACTTATTGGCCTCAGGATCTCATCCAGCCATTTTTATAAAGGGGCCCTGGGACTCTGCTTGAAGTGTGTCACTGATCAACAAATGTTTGTGAAAAGAAATGCCTGAATGCACATCCTATTTTAATTTGCCTTTCAATAGTGGTCCAAAAGCATGTCGCTTGGTTGACAACACCTTGAATTTTCTATATTAGAAAATATATATATATCTATATTCTTGAGAACATATATTCTTGAGAAGAGCAACTTTCTCTGCTCACGACGAAGAGATTTAGTATTTTTAAATCTGTCTGTGTATTCTTGTAAGGTCCTAGCTAGTGGGTAAAATGTAGCTAAGTGACTCTTTTTTGAAAGGCAAAACAGAAAAAAAGTAGAAAAGATATTGTTGTAATGTGGTAACGAAAAGTATACACAATTTATCGAATGAGGTTCTACTAAGGCAGTGTGTAATGTCTTCATGTATAAGCACATGACTGCCCTCTTGTGACAAGTCTGAGTTTATGACTTGCATCAGAGCTCACAGATTTCAATTCTGTTATTAGTTTTTATAAAAGAGATAAATATGCACACTGCCGGAGATGCAGTCATTTCTGAGACAATGAATAACTTTCAGTTAGATTAGGAGTTGAGTAAAATTTAGTTTTCATTGACTGATCACCGTCCTTCTCCAGAATAGCCATAGCAACAAAGCAGCCCACAGGATGGCTGTGATATACAGTATAGTGTAGAATTCAAATTCAGAGAGGAAATGTACAGCACATCAGTGAAACTCTCAGGTATCCACCCATTTTCTAAACCGCTTTATCCCGTACAGGGTTATGGGGGACACTGGTAGCCTATCCCAACAAGCAACAGGTGCAAGGCACAATTCACCCTGGATGGGATGCCAGCCCATTGCAGGGCAGACACAGACACCAATACAGACACTCACAACGGGACTGATTTTTCAGAAGCAAATTAACCTGCCAGTTTTTTTAACTCTGGGAGCAAACCAGAGCATCCGGCAGAAACCCATGTGAATACTCCACTCAGGTAGCACCCCAGTTGCAATTGAACCCAACAATCTAAACCACTGCGTTACTGTGTTGCCAACTGTCAAGTATACTAAGTTTTATTCTGTCACTAAATTAAAAATATATTGTTTCCCTGAACAGAGTTCTACAGTAAGACAAATAACCAGAACAATCTCTTTGTGGTCTCTGTGGAATGTCACACACAGAAGGAACAAAAGGTCAAAGGAACCTAATCTCTACAGCTTTTGCACAGCAGAGACTGTAAAGGAACCCAGTTGAAGCACTCCCAGTCTTCTTAGGAACTGATGAAGCAAGTTGGGACCCTCTAACTGTAACCCTTCTCTTGTTTGGTAAGAAGGATCTTTTCACACAAGATCCTTTAGATAATACTGCATAGTGTGTGTGTGTGTGTGTGTGTGTGTGTGTGTGTGTGTGTGTGGCATTTGAGGAACTCATGGGATTGACAGGGGAGATGTTTGTTGACTGTGATTTGGAGAAATTACATTTCATAAAAAATTGCTTTTTAAATGAGCTTTATTAATAGTTTACCTGTATTGGGGCATTGTTTTTCTGTAGAATATCCGCCACTCTGTGAAATCCGATTGGGGCTCTTTTCTTGGTGTATCCCAACCAGTTCTGTAACGCAGAAAGTTGGTAGAATATTAAACAATAGAAAAGTTTGTCTTCTCTACCCATCAGAATGAAATAAAGTTGAAAAAACAGGCTGAATGAGGAAATAAGGTTCTCTCAATAATAGGCCTCTGTGCTGACTGTAACACCATTGCAAATAGAAGAATTTGTGAGGAAAGACCTGTTTGCTAAAAAATGAAAGATGCCTTTAAAAAGGCACATGATAAATAAAAACTGGTCAGCATATACAGTAAATGTTTGCTGCACTAAGGTACACAGGGTACCAAGTGGCCACATTATTTCATTACTACACATCTTGTGTAGCTTAATAAAAAGCAAATAGTACTTAATACGTGAATCCTGACAAAAAACTGATTTTCTCCAAGTTATGCTCACATGATGATCCCTTTTTTCCTGAATTTCCTGAAAAAGTAGTGTTAACTGCAACAGAAATAAATTGAGTCTATATATTTGGTCTATAAATACATTAAGTGGTGTTAAAAACATTTCACATCTTAGTAGGCGTAGGGTATTATGTAATCCTGACATTTAGGAAGGGAGGAGCAAACAATGCAATCTGCCTGCAGTGCCCCTCTGTAGCTCACACTAGAGTAGTTTCTTTCCTGTGTTTTAAAATGGTCATAGCTACACTTCAAAGGCTTGCGGGTGTTGCAGCTGACCTAGTTACCTTGGTGGTGAAGAGGCTGTCCACATCACTCCATGCTTTCTGCTTGGCCCTGGCACCCAATGCTGTCAGCAAATACTGTTTTTCTGAGATCTGAAAAAAAAAGAATATTATCTCAGGGAACCTCAAGTGCCAGCATTCACTAGCCGCTATATTCACTAGCTGCTATACTACCTGCAACTCATAACTGGCAACCCACTGAAGCTAAGCAGGTGTGAGCCTGGTCAGACCTGGATGGGGGACCTCCTGAGAAAGCTAAGGTTGCTGTTGGAAGAGGTGTTAGTGGGACCAGTAGGGGGCACTCACCCTGTGGGATGTGTGGGTCCCAGTATAGTGACGGGGACATTGTACTGTAAAATAGCACCATCCTTCGGATGAGACATAAAACTGAGTTCCTGACTCTCTGAGGTCCTTAAAAATCCTAGCGCATTTCTCGGAAAGACTTGGGGTGTTACCCCAGCATCCTGGTGAAATCTCCCCCTGGCCTCTACAAATCTCCAAAGTTCTCCTTCCCACTAATAGCTGATGTGTGGTGACCATTCTGGTGCACTATGCCTACCCTCATATCATCTAGGTGGATGCTGCACATTGATGGTGGTGGAGGGGAGTCCCCTTTACCCGTAAAGTGCTTTGAGTGGAGTGTCCAGAAAGGTGCTATATAAGTGTAAGGGATTATGATGATGATTATTATAATAGACATAAAGGCACAAAAAAAGAGAGAAGTTCAGCATTCCCACTAGACTCCTTTTTGCTCCTGTTATCAAAAAACTCAACCTCTGAGGATATTTCACAGTTACTAATGCCTAACATGCCTCAACTATGTCTTTGTGCTCCAGTTCCAGAATGACACAATAGTGTATGTAGGTTTTCTTTCCCACCGAAACTCTTACCTTCTGAATGTACAATACCTATTAGCTCGCCCACACAAGTTTCACACTGTTCCCCAGTTTGACAGGTGTTGGATATATACAGACACCTCTGAGACATGCTGGACTGTGGCTATCCAGAGCTGGGATATTCTGATCCTGCCTACAGGAAGACGAGATTTCCTCCACACTTCAACTCTGTATCTTGTTTTGCTCCATAAGTAAGTTTAAAAACTCTTACAATCATGTAACACCCTGCTCTGTGCTTGGCCCCAACCAGTGACCTGTAACTTCCTGTTTTGCAGACCAGAGAGGAGAACAAAGCTGTTGTAATAAGACTCAAATGTAACTGAACCTGCCAAACACAAGAGCTGCAAGGCTATAAAAGTCTATACCAACAATGTGACAGTGTGAAATGACAACAAACAGGAAGCACATTTTTTTTTACCAAAGAAAATCTATACCAGTTGGCTCTACGTTTTTTCTAGAGGTCTACGTTTTGCACTAAAATGGACCACTGTCTAATTGAATTATTGCATTAGAATGTGCTTTCAGCTCCCTGATCACTTTGTTGCATAAACATAATGATGTTGCATGATGTTGAGCAAAAAGCATGATAATCATCTTAAGAAAATGAAGTCACAGACAGTTATGACACAGGTCGGATACTGCATATTACAAGTGAGAACTTCCCTGATTTTTCACACAGTCACAGTTAAGAAGAAAGCTAGATTGACTCCAACCACAATCCAAGACAGACCTGACACAACACGGGACAGCAAAAAAACCATAGCAGGACTATTTTTAGATGTTTCTTTATGTACAAATATATTAGTTAGCTCTGGTAAACATTGCTCTCAGAATTGTTAAGATAGTTATGAGGGTTTTCAATAATTGTTAGCAAGATGTCTGGCTCTATCGCTGTTTGTGCAATTATTGACTTAGGTTGCAGATAGGTTGTTACTTTTTCTTTGTAGAAAAATCTCTTGCTTCATTTAAATGGAAGGACACAGACACGTCCTATTACAACATAATATAAATAGGCATGCTTATGGAATCAATGGCACAGCTTATCATCAGTATTTAACGTAGTCTGAATTTGTGTTAAGGAACATATTCTAATATATGTTAAAGGACTGCTTCCAGTTATTTTTGTACATTATCATTATCGGTAACACAGATAATGGCAGCCTCTTAACAGGGCAGAAGTGAACGCCACCTTTGCACTCTTGAAGAAGCCAGCAATACAATCACTTCAAAATTATCCATCCATCCATTTTCTATCCACTTTATTCAATCCAGGGTTGTGGAGGAGCCAGGGCTTATCCCTGCACCCAGGGTACCATCGCAAGGCACACACAGAGACAAACTCACACTACGGCCAGCTTTTCCAGAGACCAATTAAGCTACCAGTATGTTCTTGGAATGTGGGTGGAATTCGAATATCTGGTGGGAACCCACAAAAACACAGAAAATACAAACTCCAAGCAGAAAGCCCCAGAGCCCCAGCACTGCCAGGCTTTTAAAATGACATTTTCAATTGATTGTCTCTTACCTTGAACGTTTTCTTGATGTTTGCTGGGCTGCTGTAAGTGCCCTTCAAAAAGAAAATGTCAAAAGAAATTGAGACGTAACAGAATAACTGCAAATTCACTAAAATATAGCCTTAAATCGATACGAGAAGGCCATATCACCAGAAGGCTTCCAGAAAGAGAAGAAACTCTAGCAGTGTGAATGATAAAGACAAAGCTCAGGTCTTTAAACTTCAATTTTTTCATCCAACCACCAGTACTTACTTCAGCCTCTCCATAGTGGTAAAAGCAGGAGTAATATAGAGTTGTTATAATCGGCATGTTTAAAATAGAGGCCTTTCTGGGGTATTTCTTAAATATCCCCATCTGCCCAGCTTTCTCCATGTGCTTGTCATTCACCTGCCAAAATAAAACAGACAACATTCAGTCACTCCATACACCTCTGTCATGGTGCACACCTTGAGGCTTCATCCAATCAGCTCTCAGACTCTAAGTGAGGCCAGGTCTGGTCTGT